TTTTTTTTTTGTTTTTTTATGAAATTGATCAAAATACAATGAGTTTATGATTAAAACAAACACAAATATCTACCAATGGGCTCAGAAAAAATCATCTTCATTTAAAGGGAAAACAAGTTTTCATTCCCCATCGATAGATATTTCTTCTTGTTTAAAGCATAAACTCACTTAAATTTGTTCAATTTCTTGGAAAACAAGACTCTATATCTGCGTTTTGCATCTCAAGCAAAAGTATCTTGATTTAAGGATGTTTAGATATTTGTACTTGAAAACGATTCATAAATACTGAGGAAGATACTCGTTTTTTTGCAGTGCATGCAACATTTAATGCCATGATTTTAAGACTTTCTGCTCTGATTCATTTTTGTAAGTGTGAATATTACAAAGATATTTTAAGATCTTTACAAGACATAGACATACATTTAAAGCAGTAAGTTAGACACAAAAGTTTGGTTTGTTTTTGGGACGTTGTAAGGCTAGACATCTATGATAAACTTCTATTAGCAGAATGTTTTAATGATGTTAACAAATGCACTGAAAGCTAAACAATGCTCAAAGTTTGCGGAGTGTACCAAATGACTTTTAACAGAAGTGTAGTGACTGCAATCCGGGTTTGCTGTTTGTGGTCCTGCAGGCAGTTTGCAGACGCGTGTGGTCAGGCCTTGAAGGTGAATGAGCGTCTCATAAAAGAAGATCAGCTGGAGTATCAGGAGGAGATGAAAGCTCACTATAAAGACATGCTGACCGAGCTCTCCGCCATCATGAACGAGCAGGTCAGCACACACACTTCATCCCATGCATTAACTCCTTCCCCGCCATCGACGGAGCCCTCCAGATTTCTGTGTTTTCACTGATATACTGTAGGGGGAGCTATTACACATCTTCTGAAAGAGTACTGAATCTCTGGATTAAAACACAGGTGAAGAAGCAGAAACAAGCGATCGCATATGTAAGCAGATGCATATGTAAAATAATGTGATCCTCAAGCATTAAACAGAATATAAATCAAAACTGCCTAAAGTTACTGAATGAAATGTCGACCCAAGAAGTGTTTTAGGGCTGTGAAGCTATGTGGGTGTTGATGGAAGCGATCTACTCTCATCTGTTCTGACCATCAAATCTGATCCAAATATAGTCTTTTACAAAAACGCAATTTTCTCAAC